AAAATACTAGTCTACTAAAACACAGCCAAGACAAGTTACTTTGTACAGACCAAAGGTCATTTTTTATGTTATTTGATATGGCAACATGAGTGCACATGAACCTCGTTGTTGTAACTTCTATATTGTTAGCCAGGCACAGGAGAAAGGTCAATATAATAAATATATATAAATGTATAATGTTGTGAGATTTAAGCTATTTCGTCTAAACACTTATGTTTTTGTGTTATAATATGTGTTCATTCTAGAATGAAAGAGGCATAATTTATATTTATTTCCTAATTTTTTATGGTGGTTGCAAGATCAGTCAAATCTACTGAAACTGTACTGAGATTAATTACTGAAAATAACAAATAAAATATAAATTTTTTTTTTAAGAAATGTTTGATAACTATCCGAACATTATAAAGATTTCGCATGTGAATTTTCAAAATTTTCTGATGCATATAAGTATTTTTAATGTTAAAATGAAAATTACTTTGCATGATAGATAGGCAAGATGTGAAAAGAAAAAAAAAGGCATGAGAAAAACTTTGCTTTACAAACCTTAAGACTTAATAAAAAAAATAGATATTTTGCATATGAAAGCAGTACAATATTTACTGATAAACTGCAAGATTTTATTAACATTCGCTTACTAATTTAAAAGTTATAGCATGAAAACTGTAACAAGCACAAAATGGTTATAAGGTCAGTCCCAGGGACCGAGCCCAGGTTGAAAGAGTTAACCCAAGAACACCTGACAAAGTTAGGCCTGCTTAGCGAATTACCAAAGCAGATTTGTCTCATGTAAAATTCCATGTACCATGCTTATCACATTTGGCCGATGGAGTTATTACTATTAAGACTTTTAATGTTATATATTAATCTAGCTAATTCTATAAATGACTAAAACACATATTAAAATTATTTAACTTTAATACCATAAGTTACAATATGGGTACAAAACTATGTCTTATTTAGAATGTAACAAGTTTCAGCTAGATATCTACAGAACAATAGCAAGCCTGTGAGATGCTTACTAAGGCAAAATTAGTCTTTATTGTTATGATCTATAGACTCAAACCAGAAAGTCGTCATACTACACTTACTAGATACTTTATTAAGACTTGCATGTGATACTGAGTTGGATTGTACGTGGCAGAAGGTGTCTTACTAAATTGTAGCCCATTCATCAATGAGCTTGTCTGCATTTGATTTACAGATTTTGGCACAGGATGAAGCAGTTACTTGAATGAAACATTACAAGTCATTTATATATATAATACAAAAAGTTTAGTGTAGTACATGCGTGTTTATTACCCAAGTTTTGTAATACTTTTCAGATTACTCAACAAAAGCAAGTAGCCAAGAAGTGAAAGGAGTTTCTATACCTACTGTGGTTGGTGTTTGTCTGGGGTCATTCATTCTTGGAGCAGCATTGTCTGCCCTTGGAACATATATGTGCATGAAACGTCGATATGCATTCCGTGATGGTAGACTTTCAAAAAAGATGATACCTGTTAAGCAAAATCACTATATAACAGAAAGTGAATTAAAAAACAACATGACTCCAATCAATGGCTCACCAGGAAAATACCCATTGAGAGAAGCAACAATTAAGAGAAATGGGCTTAGAACACCCATACATGCAGACCAGAACTTTTAGTGAACTCCAAGAGCATTTTACATGAACTGTATGCACTTTACTATTCACAGATGTGGTAAATTTCTGTGAAGAGTTCCTCCAAACATCTTGTGAAATTCCCTAGTACTACTAGGATAATATGGAAGTTAGTATAACAGAATCACATATGTTTGGTAAAGTTCAGTCTATATGAACAACTTTATGAAAATCTCTCACTCTCTTTTTTTTTTTTAATGTACCATAAAGCAATGTGAGTTGTCAACCAGCTGTTGGGGTATCAGCTTATATTAGATGAAAGCGGGTGGATGAACCCACCTGTATCGGGTGTACAGTTCCAGTAAATGTGCCTTGTGTAAAGTAAACATCTTAATAGACTCTGGTTTTTATGCCCTTTAAAAGAAAAAAAAATAATCATGTTAGTACACATATTTTTTTTTTATTATTGTTACAACATGACCACAGAATTATGTTGATTACACGTTTGCCAGGAGGAAACATTTCTGCCCATGTCATGATCCTCAGAATTGTATTTCGTAGCTGAATTATACCATACTTTCAACTTAATATACTAAACAGTTTGTTGAAAGGAACACTGAACATTTATGTGTTTTTAGACATTTTTCAGGAATCGCAAAGTAAGCTTCAGTCATGACATCATAATGCCATAAATGCATTTAATGAATTAATAGAAACTGTGAACTGTAATAAGAAGGTATCAAAGTGTGGACAAGTACAAACTGCAAATATGTGATGTGTATCAAGACGAGAAAAAACAGCAGGAAAAAAACTCTTCAGTATTTTATTAAAAAAAAATAAATAAAAGTAGTAAAAAAGAAAATTCATATCTATTTTCTGGTATACCTCAAATCATCAATTTAAAAAAAATGTGAAACTGCTGAAAATATGTGCCTTCTAATAGTTTCAAATGTATTCAAAATAAAATATTAATCGGCTACAAAGGAAATCATTGGTTATCAGTGTACTGTAGAATTACCTAACTAGTTAGAATGAAGAAGAGGACTTTTTCCACAAGTAGTCAGTTTGTTTTCATAATTTTCAACATCTTTACTCCTACTTCTATGTTAGAAAGGACAAGTTGTTTCACTAATACCCTTGTTATTATATTTAATAAGTGTAATGGCTAAACTGATGCCTTTATTTCAAAGCTTTTGTATATTTTGATATTTGGTTTGTTTCACTCACTCATGTTTCAAATGTAACATTAAAAATGACCAGCTCTTTCATCATCAGTAAATGAATCTCATTTATGGTTGATAGTTGTGTGGAAACAGTCAAATGCATTCTTATTCTGATATTTCTCATTGTGTAATTTTTTCTATTTACCAAAGGCAAAAATTAATACAGTTTTCAGACTTTAAAGATTAATACGTCAATTCTGAAGTTCATGCTTTAATTTATAAAACTTTATTTGTTGTTAGCTAAATAATTGATGGTAATTAACCACAAAACATCCATAATTCATCTTATGAGCCAAGATTTATCAATTCTTGTTGAGGAAAAAGCCACAGTAAAATCAGTCTTGCTGAGGTGTCGAACTGAGAACATCTAACTGACATTTATTATTATTATTATGTATATTATGAATTTTGGCAATAAGTTCAAACTATCCCAAGACAAGATCATTTTTTATAGATTCCATAATAGGAATTTTTCTAAGATAATAAGAACTTGTAGAACTGGCAAGATAACTAATTTACTGGTATATAGTACGTGAATCATTGGCACATAAATAATGTTTTGCATGTGTTTGAAGAAACTCTGAACATGGAAAAAAATTTCAATGTACAGTAAAATCTTGTTGATCTAAACATTTATATAGTCATATTTTAGTTTCTACAGCTGTTGTGATGAATTGGTGGCTTACTTGATTTGGTTAACAACATGCAGCAGTCATACTTCTCACTGTCATCTGCTCTTATATCATCTTCTAATCATCTTTTTTCTAGCACTACCATATAGTACTTGATTTATAAGTACTTAAAGGAAATAATACAGAGTTGGTTGTAATAAGTGATTTTTTTCAAGTTAACGAATCTTGCTTTTTTAGTCATAAATAACGATATATGACTGGAAACTTTGCATCTCTGAAGTTTTACTAGCAAAGGCTAATTCAGTCTCAAAAATATATTTCAATATTTTCATTAAATAGGAAGTTGTTGGAATCATCTTGCTCAGGCTATGTTGCACATTACTCTGGTAAATAATAATAAAAAAGTTGGCCAGTTACAGTAATGTTTTGAAAGTGGATTTTGTAATTGCGATTCTGTTTGTTTAGTTTTTGAATTAATGTTTTAGATGAAGGTGCATATGTGCAAAGAAATACATATGTAAAATAATAATAAAAGATAAATCTTATGTTTTAGTATGTCCAGCCTAGAATACTATAGGAAGCAAATCATAGGAGTGGTATTTACTGAACTACATAGTTTGTGAATATGGAATGCTAAAATTGTATTTCTGGCTGTACACTTTTGAATCTAGAAGAACTAAAGGAAAAACTGCATTAAGTAAATTATCAAGAAACAACAGTTGCCACTATAGAGAAATAATACAAAAATCATAATGAATCAGTTAAGAGGAAATTAAAAAGACTGTCCTTTGAACTAGATAGGTTAAACTGAAAGCTTAGATAATTTTTCTCTATATTAAACTACTGCTTCTATGCACATTTCCTTACTTGATAATTATTTTTGATTTATTAATTTCCAAAATGATTTTTTTTCCAAATAATTCAAACTATTTTTACTGTTTTTCATTTTTTCTTAGTTAAAAAAGTTGTAGAAATTGTATTTTATCTTTGGTAATGAACATACCCATGATTTTTGATTATAGAAGAGCTTCTGTCACTGAAAAGACAGAAATGTGTATACTAAGATTTCCATTTGTGAAAATAATCGTATATTATGCACAAGAGAAATATGGCTTATTCTATAGCATTACTGGAATTTGAGATATGTTTCAGTATTCTGATTTCATCCAGCATAAGTGCCAAAGTGTGTAAGATTTAGAGGTAAAACTTTCAAAGTATTAAAATGGAGGCCAGAGATGATTATACTTATCATTTTCATATTTCTTTAAAGGTGTTCCTGAAATTAATATCTTTCTATTGTACTCTACTATATGCTATATAATTTTGAGGCTAAATTTTGATAAAATGTAATTTATAAAAAAACTGGCCATGTTTCGATATATGTAGAACTGTTAAACTTGTAAATAATGTAAACAAGTCTATACATGGAATCATGTGTCCACTGTCTTTGCAAAGGAAAACTGTTCTACAGAATACTAATATGGTATCTATGTATTTCTTTGTAACTGTGTGAAAAAGAGGTGTTGTTACTTGGTTGTTTACAGTTGGTGCTGTCACTAAACATTGAATACAAAATTTGAACATTTAAACAAGTGCCTGTACATCAAGGTGTAATGGTTTATAATTAGTAGTGTTTCCACAGTAACGATGAACACTAGTGATAAGAAAACTTTGTGCAATTAATCAAACTGTTTCTAAAAAATGCATGATGATGATTTAACTCTGATTACTGTTAGTTTTGTCATCGTTCTTACAAGCTTACTCAAGTTTTTATATAATAAAAGTAGATTCATTAACATGATTTTACATGTAGCCTTTGAAGGTCTAAAACTTGGGACTTGTGATTGCAGAGTACTGTTTGTTAGTGCTAACACTTATTATGTAAGCCTGAAAAGCTAATAAGTTTTATAACATAAAAAATTTTTAAATTTGAATTTTTTAAGTATATCTTTATTGGCTTTATGCTTGCATTGATGCATTCAGATAAAAAAAAAAACTTGTTAAGTAAGTTTGTGAAAGTCAGTCCAACGAATTTGAATGCTCAATAATATTAAATGTCCAGTGATGTGCCTACTTAAAAATGAATTGTATTTTGAGTACTGGTTTAGGCATTATGACTTACTTGATGATAAGTTTTTTTGTAAATTTGTGTATAGACAAAAGTATTTTGACAAATAAAACTATTTTGCTCACTAAATGAAGTTTAGTACAAGTTTCATTTATTAATATTGTTAGGTATCTGGTCGTTTGTTAATTTCCGTTATAAATTCTCCCCGAGGAATAAAACTAATGTATTTTTTCTCAATACAACTTTGCAATACACAGAATTTCCACAGTCACTTTAACTTAAACACACACTATAATTCACAAAGATTCACGCACGTTACTTATGGTCACTACCACTCGCTTGACTCAATTATCTGTCTATCTGCCAATTATCTATGCCGTCACTTCATTTGCCGGCTTATATATACAAAAATAGAGGGCATGTAGAAAAGACTAGAACAGACATGATCTTTCTAGAATCTCATGACGTGTTACTAGCATCACGTAACCTCCGCTGTTGTAACACTGCCCCTTCCTTAGTATTGTTCGTCCCGAACAAGAGCCACTTACATTAAACCAAGAGATAATTAACAATAACTTAATTAAATGTACAGAATTTACAAACACAAAATTAAAATTCAACAAAGTCGGGACATATCTTCTTCCGTACTGGTCTCCGCCTCGTTGGCTTCTGCTTCACATAACGTTCATCTGCTTCATCAGGAAATGTCCTGTTATCGGTAACAGTCGCATCAGTGGTTGTAACTTCGTTAAGGGCTTCACTGTTTCCCTTCTCAAAACCGAGTAGAGTTTCTTGTTGGACAGGGGCTTTTTCAGGTGACACGTCTTCAGTGGCATCTTTTGTTCTGTTGTTCACTTCGTTCCAACTGAAATGTCTAGGACCGTGATAATGCCAAAGCCTGTTGGCATGCACCACCTTTGGCTTACCTCACCGACAACATTTTATTCGGAAAGTCACGTCTGAGAGACGATCCACTATGTCATATGGGCCTTCCCGTGGAGAAGACAACTTAGGAGACTTCTCTTTGGTCTTCCTTTGCTTATACAACCACACCTTTTCTCCTGGTACAAAGCTGACTTCAGTTGATCTCTTATCATAACATAGCTCCATGGAATCAGCAGACGTTTTCAAGTTTGAACGCACTTGATGATGAATATCATCCATCCTTTCAGATAATGCTTTCACGAACTCTGTTCATTTTCACCAACTTTTTGAGACAACACTCCTCCAATCCCGACATTACTAGCATCACAATCCAGTATGCACAGCAGTGAGGTATCTGGAAGCTTTAAAAGTGGAGCTGAGGCCAATTTTTATTTCAATGTCTTTAAAGCATGCTGGCAAGAAACTGTCCATTCGAACTTCTGGCCTTTTTTTTTGTTAAATCATGTAGTGGAGCAGGTATAGTTGCAAAGTCCTTCAAAAAAATCCGGTAATAGGTACAGAGTCCCAATAAACTTCTTAACTCTCCCACATTCTCTGGTGTTAGCCAATCATGCACTGCTTTCACCTTGTCAGGATCAATTCACACACCATGCTCACTTTCAATGTGACCCAAGTAAAGCACCTCTTTCTGGAACAAGTGTCATATCTTGGCATGGAGTTTGAGGTTTGCTGCTTTCAAATGCTTGAATACTTCCTCTTGCTAGGGCATTTCCTTATC